GTTGGAGCAAGGTCTGGTGAATACGGAGGATGATGAATGGTTTCTAACTGCAGTTCCTGAAGGGTCAAAATGGTTTCTCGTGCTGTGTGAGGTCTCGCGTTGTCGTGGAGCAATAATGGTGAAGATCGATTCATGAGTCGGGGCTGTTTTACTGCTAGTTTTTCAACATGGTTCGGAGTTCGGCACAATAGACATCTGCCGTTATTGCTTGACCAGATCGGAGAAAACTATAGTGAATAACACCATGCTGAGACCACCAAACAGTTACCATTACCTTTTTATTGGTAAGTTTTGCTTTAGGACACTGTTGTGGCATTTGACCTGGGGTCAGCCATTGCATTTTTCTTTTCCGGTTATCATAAAGAATCCACTTTTCATCACATGTTACAATTCGATCCAATATTCCATCATTTCTGTACCGGTTCAACAAGGTAACACAAGTTTCAACACGCGTTTCTTTCTGCAGATCAGTCAAATCATGAGGCACCCATTTTTCGTATTTTTTTATTTTATTGTTTTGACGCAAGTGAGTCAATATTGTGGGTAAGGTAACGTTAAACCATGCCGCTAATTCCTGGGTAGTTTGACTAGGATCGGCTTCCACTATCTCTCTTAATTCATCGTTATTCACCTGTGTGGGCGGTCTTCCTCGTGGCTCGTTCTTTAAGTCGAAATTTCCATCACGAAAGCGTTTAAACCAAAATCGCACGGTGCGTTCATTAGTAGACCCCTCTCCAAACGCAGCATTGATATTGCGGGCTGTTTCTGCCGCGTTAGTTCCGCGTCGGAACTCGTATTCAAAAATCACTCGAATTTTCGCAGTATCCATCTTTCTTGTCTAAATTGAATAACAAAAACAATTGAAAGTCTATATTCAAATGTTTCAAATTAAAAAAAGAAAAATCACAGAAACCATTTGAAAAAAGTTTCATTCGAAAACCTCAAACCATGAAGATTCTATGAAAATTCAAAGAACCTATTGCAATAAAACGGCAATTTCATACTTTAACCCCTAATATATATATATAAATATAGCCTAGCTTAGGTCTAATTGCACCAATCGTGGTGAATGTTCACTGATCCCACGGCGCTGACTCAACCGGCGAGAGGTAAGCCCGGGGGGGTTTTAGTGGGGTAGGCCCTCCAGTCTGGGGGAGAGACCCCACATAACCCCTAAGTCTCCCTGGGCTTAAGGGTATCTATAAAGATTTTTCCCCGTTAATAAAAAGGTCTGATTGCACCCAGAAAAATTCGTGAATTATCTAATATCTAATAGTCGGTCCTAGTTGCTAAAATTTAGAATACGCCGCTCGCTCGTTTATCACTACTGGTGTCCTACTATGAGCTCTTTTAGCAATCCCGTTTAAGCCCGTAAGTTGGATAGCCTGTCAAATTCGTAATATGACCTCACAAAAACAATTCACTGTTCATGTAGTTTACGTTCCCCATCCGAAATCCGTCCACCTTTTGTTTTATACTAAAATCGCAGGTATCAAATATGCGTGTCGATAGATGGCATTGTGTGTTATAAACTAATTTATAAATTACCGCTTTCTAATATAGGTAGATGGCGCTAATCCTAAACTAAATAAAAGTACTAAATTTAGTGATTGGGCGACTGTGGGAATTCACAAAAGTAGACAAAGACTATATAATTCCTAGTGTTATAAGTCCTTTACGATTAAAGGACTTATAACACTAGTAACAGTTTTAATGATTTAAGTTAGGAAATATTCGAAAATGTTTAAACGTGTTTGTGTTGCAGCCAAAGCAACGTTTATAAATAATAAAATAAAAAGCAGCGCGAATGTAGTAAAAACGACTTGGAATATTATAAACAGCGAAACTGGAAGGGTCAAACCTCGTAACTTAGATTTTCAACTAAGATTTAATGACAAAATTGTAAACACAGACACAGAAGTTGCTAAAATATTTGAAATTTTTTTTACTGACATTCCAATTTTGACTACTAAGTCGTTAAATTCATCTTCCACCGCCGCTGAATCCTTACTAAAAGAGAATAATGCAGTTAGTATCACCAGTATCACTAATTTAAGGTTCCGTCATGTATTTCCAAACGATATTGTTAAAGCCTTTAAGTCTATAAACATAAAAAATACTGCTGATCTCGATGGTCTTTCAGTCAGAGTAATTAGTTCTATAGTTGATTATATTGCGCCTTATTTAGCCTGTGTCTTTAATAAATGTGTTGATGATGGTGTCTTTCCTGACCTCATGAAGCAAAGTAAAGTTATTTCACTTTTCAAATCTGGTAGTATTTCTGACCCCACAAATTTCAGACCTATATCAATACTACCAACTCTCTTAAAATATTTGAAAAAACTATTCTAAATCAGATGTGTGCACATTTTTATAGTAATAACTTAATGTCTACTAAACAATTTGGTTTCACTCGGGGTCGCTCTACAACCGATGCTGGTGTCGAGTTGATTAATCATATATTTGATGCATGGGAAGTCTCACATGATGCTATTGGTGTATTCTGTGACCTTTCCAAAGCTTTTGATTGTGTGCACCATGATACACTGGTCAGGAAACTTCACCATTATGGTGTGGCGGGACATGATCTCGACCTTCTTAAATCGTATTTGCGTGGTAGGGTACAGAGGGTCGATGTTAATGGTACGAGATCGTCAGGATCTGCAATTAGCATGGGTGTCCCTCAAGGTTCAATTCTAGGCCCATTTTTATTTTTAGTTTATATTAATGACTTACCTAAGCCTTATGGAGGGTATAAAACATGAGATAGTATTGTTTGCTGATGATACTTCCTTATTATTTAAAGTTAAAAGGCACCAATGTTCCTACGACGTTGTGAACAATGCTATATCTAAAGTAGTTGATTGGTTTGCTGTTAATAACCTACTTCTTAATGAGAAAAAAACAAATTGTGTGAAATTTACATTACCCAATGTTAGAGAGACGGTTACAAACATTGTAGTTAGAAACGAAAAATTGGATCTTGTGGATACAGTTGTATTTCTAGGTATAACGTTAGATGCTAAATTGCAATGGGGTCCCCATATAAGTAAGTTATCAAAACGGCTCGGCTCTGCAGTGTACGCGATTAAAAAAATAAGGAAGCTTTCAGACGTCGAAACCGCTAGATTGGTTTACTTCAGCTACTTTCACAGTCTAATGACATACGGCATTTTGCTTTGGGGTAATGCCGCCGATATCAATAGAATCTTTGTCCTGCAGAAACATGCAGTTAGGGCAATTTACAATCTGGGCCACAAAGTATCTTTGAGAGATAAGTTTAATGAAATTAACATTCTTACACTAGCCTCACAGTACATTTATGAAAATGTAATTTATGTTAAAAGGAATAGTAATTTATTTATGAAAAATAGTAACAGACATAACATTAATACGAGGAATAGAAATAAACTAGCTTTTCTTGATAGTCGTCTTCACAAAGTCAAAAAATCATTTAAGGGGCAATGTATACTCTTCTATAACAAGATACCGGTTGATATACAAAATTTGCCTTTCACGAGGTTTAAAACTATAGTGAAACAAAAACTTTATACTAAAGGTTATTATACAACTTCTGCGTACTTGGATGACCAAAATCCGTGGTAGTAACCCGTTTAGCTCATGGAGGTAGTCTCGATCTCTGATATTTCAAATAAAAAAAAATATTGTAAATGTTATTTACAAAGAGCAACCCCTAGAGTTTCTTGCTCATTCTTCTCAGGGGAATCTGCCTTACGAATGAGCGGTAGAATTTAACCATTGTGACGATTTCAAGTGTAATAATCTAATAATGTTTACCTATGAAATAAAGATTATTTTGAATTTGAATTTGAATTTACTGCCGTCACTATGCTTAAAAAGCGCCATATAGTTGATTTGTTTGATAAAACCTTAGAGAATTGAAAAAAATAAAGGAAGTTATAACTAGAAATTAGAGTAGCTTTGATAAATTGCTGCTTGTCATTGTATTAAACACATCGTACTGCAATTACAATAGTATTATAGTTGAGTGTGTGCGTTATTTATTTAAAAAAAAAATAAAAATTATAACTCAAAATATGTGAAATTCAAGATTATACCATTGTTGAACGTAAAATTTGATTCTCTACAAGTCAATAAAACCATCGTTAGAATATTGTAAAAAAACTACTAAGATATCTACTTCACTAAAAATGAGACACGCTGTAAATGAGCTGGTTCTGGCCAAGTCTTTATTAAAAAATATGAAACTATGTATTTTTTCTCTTTTATTTTTATAGATGCGTATTTGGCAAGTAGGACGTAATTTATACATAAATTTACACAGATCATTTACGGAATGATGTACCAACAGAATAGATACTAAATATCCGACTACACTGTCTAGTATATGGCGATTAGCAGGTCCCCTTAAGTTATCGCTCCATGTTTTAGGAGTATTTAAAAGTAAATCATCATCAACCCACTACTGGGCATGGGTCTCCTTGAAGGAGAGGGCCTAGGGTCACGAATTAGTTCGTGACCCTTTTGAAATAGGCCTTTGAAATTGGTTAGTGTAATAAACATTGTCCACGAGGCAGAACCAGAAAGAGAAATAGTAGCGTGTAGAATATCTAAAACTCCAACCCCATTGTTTTTTATTAATTTTCTTGCTTATGTATGTTTTATCCTTGCGGTGGGAAAACGGAAGAGTCGTTTCGAATTCCTCTGGAACGCTTCATGCCCGTGGACCACCTCGCTGGACCAAGTATATTATGATCAGCAGAAGTTATTAAATACAAGCTCATATAAACTCTTTATTGCATCATGTAATAAATCTTGTTTGCAAAATCTCCGGTTGACTATATTGAGAAGTGAGGTTTTAAGATCTCAATAAAAACTCAAAATTGCAAATATTTGGAAATATTTATTTACAAATGTTAAAACTAAACAAACAATGTGTTAGTTCACCTAACTAATAAACCTTTAATTACACGTAATTGCTCTTTATTCTTTTTATGTAAGGCATTTTTTAAATATATATTTTTTGTGGAATCTTTTTGGTTACTAGGAGTCGATTTAGGCCTAGATCTATAGCCATAAAGGATAAAGTTAGATAAAAGGGATTCAATTAGTATCTCGAACATGTTGAACTATTAAATATGAATTGTAGACATCATATGAAGAACATAGTGCTATGACAGAAAATTCGGCTGACGCTTAAAAGTGATCAAGATACCGATACATTGTACATAGAAATGCAGAGCAGATGACAAAAGAAACTCGGATAATACAAGAATATTTTTATTCTTTGATTTACTTGTTATAACAATTAGGAGATTCATAACCTAACTAAAACGTTATATCGGTACAACACACCTTTGTACACCATTAAACATAAGGTTTAAATTATAACAACTTATACACATAAATATGTGTGTGGGCCCCTTTATACATTTGTGATACATAAAAATATTGTATAAGTTTGTACCTTCAAACACTATATACACAAAGTAACTAATATTAAACCAATTATATACACAACTTATTATATATTAAATGTAATTAATAATATGAATAAAACGCAACTTCGCTTGTAAAGTTAGGAACTTAACTTTAGTATCACATGTTGTTTAAATCAACATTATTTACTAGAATTTATTAAATTAAACTGTGATTCAATCTACATACCTCACGCAATTTGACACAATTAACACGGACACTCATCGTTATTCTCTTCAACCGTACTTACATGGGGTCTACTTTTAACTTTATAGTCTTTTAACAGTACATACAAATCTCACAACTATGCACGTGCCTCATCTGACATATAATAATTTATAGCATAGGTAAAATTTCAAATCTATTTCTAATATATTGTAAAAAGCTACTGTTTTTCTTGAGACGATTTCTATATATCAACGGGACTTTCAATGTAATAACTATTTGAATTTCTTCTTTCACACGAGGAAGTGGTAAAAAGGTATATGATTATATTAAGTGTTAATACTTCACAAAGTCTGTACAACCCGATCAGATATAGTAAATAGATATTCAATAAAACCAATTTATTCTAAAGCTACGTTAATTTACGAAATGTATACACAACATCAACAAAGAGAAAAGGCTAATAATGAGGTAGCAATATTCCATATTCTAACATAATCAATTTAGGCACTTTATTAAGCAAAACGCGTTTCTAAGACATAACACAAGTTAAGCGAACACGATTCAAGATGTCACGGTTTCATTATTTTGAGCAAGAACAGCATTTGATGTCATTTTTCTAGTCTAATAGGCCTGTAGTAGAGGCAATAGACAATAGGAACAAAATTTCTTTAAACGGGCTGAATCATCATTAGAAGGTAGCTTACAGATTTACTAGCCCAACTGCTCAATTATACATTATTATGTACTGATACGCCAGGGTACCTAGTGCTGCATTTAGAAACGTAAGGAGACCAGAGAAATGAGCAATATATCAAATTATTTTGTACCAATCACGTTGTTTTCTGTTGTGATTACAAGCATATAGCTTTCGATAAACTGGCTCTAGTTGGAACAATCGGACACTACATAATCGAACACAACCCAGAACACTCCGTGCCTCTATTCAGCGGTGGTTGTCTACTCAACTGCACGCCTTCCAATGTCGGCTTTAGTTTATAGTCGAGCTCTGGTTCCTCACCAGGAGGTAGAGGTTCGTCATCGGCACTTATATCCTCTAGCATTTTATCATCATGGTTGTTTTGAATGAAGGATGGTATCGATTTTGAGATGTTAATCCTAATTCCTCCAATAGGGAGCGATGTTGCCGTTGGCGCCGCGTCTAATTGGACGTTTCCGTCTATGGACGAGAGGACAGTTATGTGTGTTGTGTCTATGGTTGGCTGGACTGTCTCTTCTTCAGCTGTTATTATTGGTTCATCGTCTGTGGAATAAAATATAATAATGTAAACACATTTATACATTGTACTTAAACTGTATATTCTAATTTAACTAACGTTGACGATGGCACTGTTAACCGGTTTCATTATAATAATTTTCTCGCACTTTAAAAATTACCTTAATAAAGGTTTAAAATAAAGTTTATACTCGATTAAGGGTACAAGGTTACAAGAGAACATTTTAATTATCCAGACGTTTCCCTTGAAAACATCTAACATGTCTACATCAGAAAATCGCAACTGTAGGTATCGAATCAAATGCATTAAATTTGAATGCGCAAGCAAACCCGGGTGACAGCATGCTGTGAGAACCTTTGGGGTATCCTGTATACGCAGTGTCGCAAGAGAGTCGCCACCGCGCTTGTCCAGCGTCTGTCGTGTCGACCCACTGGCTACAACAGCGACTGCATGCTTTTTTAGCTCACGCTCCCGAACAAAACTTTGCCACTAAAGTCTTGTGCGGGAGCGTGAGCTAAAGAGCTTTTTTCGCTTTATTCATTTAGTGTCTATTGCCTATTTGTTTCGTCAAGCTCATTTACAACTTTGAAGTCGTGTATTTGTTCCAATGCGGACATTTTAATTAGAAAAATCCCGCCCGGTACAGTTATTAATTATACGTATACGTAGTGTGTGAAGTTTTCTCAGATTGACGAACACCTCAATATTGTTATGGAGGAGCATACAATTGCAGTTGCCGTTTTCCGTTAAACTACAATGATGAAGAAGAATTGCTGAAAGCAATACCCAGTACACCCATTTTGAAAATTAATTCAACCGGGGATCGAACTCAATAACGACAATACTTAACTGATATGCCACAGTCGTCTGATTAAGGTTTATTGTCGAACTTACCAGGGTCGATAGGCTCCTGCTTGACCTTGATATTGGAGAAATCGATCTCAGCCTGCCGGTCTCTCTCTTTCCTCACTTCCATGGTCTCATCGTCAGTGTCCGCGTCATCATTCACCACGACTTGTTCCACGGGTTCCGCTTTTAACACTACGTCGTCATCACCTTCTTCTTCGTCGATCTAAGGGAATTAATAATATATTTAAAAACAAATTTACATACAATGTGGAAATTATATTATAGTAACTATGGTCTGTTCCAATCAATTGTACCAGAAAAGTAAACAAACAGATCATTGGCCATCACTAAACTGTCTATAGTACAGTTGTACTGCCAACTACAAATCGATTAATTGAATGAATCGAATTTGTAAAATGGGTTTTGCGAATTCGCTGATTACTATAAAAAAAAAATGTGATTAAATACTGAGTGATGATATTTCATACATGAGATTAGAATTTTTTCTCACATAACCTATAAAAGCAAACTTAAATCTAATTCTAAATATTTAAATTTTTGTAATGTTGTAATAAACACAGTTAAGTGGGCTATACTCGATCTACCGGCCGGAAGAACGGCATCCATGCGCCTTTCAGAAGCATTCTGTCTATTGAGTTCAAAGAACAAGCCTCGCAAGGGGCATACGGCCATCGAATGATAATTCGTTTGATGACTGGATGCCTCCGGTTACGCGTTTAATTTGGGACAAAATCCACAGAAGTCAGGTTTGGTCCAAGTGTAAATCGTCTGTTTAAAGGTAAAACTACATAAGTGACATTTTCTACAAAAAGTCTTTATATAGCTATGGTATGAAAATCACTATCTTTCTGCAGGTGAAACTCAATAACAAGAAAGCTATAAACTCAATAAGTGGTTTTATTTGCAGAAGGTGGTGATTTTCTTACAACAAGTACATAATTTGGAGATTTTTTGTGGATTTGTGGAATGTCACTTTTGTGGTTTTAGCAGACGAAATTATAGTTTGGCAAATCTTCATTAGCAAAACTGGCGATCCTTTTTTGTAACTTCCTTATGTTGGTGACACTTGAGCTTTATTTTATATTATGATATTAAACAATATTAAATAGATAGATGACTAAAACTGAAATTGAACCCTTCAAATTACCCGATGACGCAACATCCTTTACAATTTTTGCTACGAATGACAAGTTCTCACCTCTAGTGCCTCCACAGGCTTCTCGGGTTCAACGACCTCAACAACCTCGTCATCGGACTGTGAGTTTATGTCGTCGATGTCACGGATCTCGATTGCCTCCTCCTCCTTATCCAAGGAGACCACTTCGGTGACTTCCGGGACTGGCTCTTCCTTCGTCAGTGACGCCTGCAATTATCATGCCAACATTTAAGGTGACCGCGATAGAACCGCACTACATAATTTATTTATTGAAAACACGCCGCCAAATTAACACAAAATAATCTATGAACATTATGCACATCCGTTCACCGTACAAGGGCCAAGCTTCAGGTGTATGTATAGTAGAAAAAAGAGAAAAAAAAAAATTGATGAATGTAATTAAAACTCACCTTATAGTCCTCGAAGCACATTGGATGGTAGTTCTTATCCTCGTGCCTGACGGAGTTCCTCAGATGCCACTCTTCCTTGTCCTCGTTGTAGAACTGGTCGAACTTGTCCCCGCAGGTGGCGCAGAAGTGGTCCTGCGGCGCCCCCGCGGCCACGCTAGGCGCCTCTTCGACGGCTTCGACGGGACCTTCGCCCTCGCCTTCGGCGCCGCCCGTTTCGAACCAACTCTTCTCTGCGTATATGAAGGTATATATTTTAAAATTTAAAACTATAGTGTTTTTGAAATGTTCTGAATTGTTACATTATCACAGGGAAACCCTATTTTTCTTTTAATATATTTATATACTTAAATGCAGGAGTATTTGTAGTGTTGAATAACGTCTAGTCAGGTATAAATAAAATGCGGTGACTCACCCCTCTCTTCCAGGTCCTCGACCTCCTCGTACTGCACCCAGTCAGAGAGGTCATAATGCCAGTGGCGACTGTGCGCCCTCCGGGCCGAGTCGCGGTCCCTCCTGTTCTGGCGGAAGTGCCAGTCGAGGTGCTGGCTGTAGCGCACCGTGTGCTCTGGAGGGAAGCGCGCGCCGCAGCCGCTGCACTGCATGCCGCCGTACAGGGCCGCTACTAGGCCAGGCTGCTTGCTGTAAGAGGGAGACGCTCATTGACAAACCGACCAGGGTTGTTGCTGATGCAGGTTTTTTACACATCAGCAGATGCGATATTTGACCTTAACATCACCGGATGCTGATTTTAGATATTAAAAAAAACAACGCGAAAAATATACATCCTTACTGAATCTATCTACATGAAAAAGCTTTCTATTTTCTTTGGTATTGTAATAAAATATATTTTAATGGTTTTGTGACATTTATTAACAAAAGAATCCAATCTTCATGAAAACAATTAATCTGCCTAGCCTAATCGTTGTGGAATGTTATCAACAACATACATAATATGTTAAAAACAACAGCTGAGCTGCAATTTCGGGGTAGTTTGTTTTTGGAAAGTTTGTAAATTATTCCGGCGTGCCTTTTAGGTCATGTCACGACTCGAACATGCGTAATTAATATCAGCATCGATGAATGCGGATGCTGATACTCGCAACAACCCTAATACCGACTTATTATAGCAACATCCCGGTATATGCCCCAGTCCAGCGTGTACAAGCGCATATTTTCACATATAGCACATGCTATTTGCGGAAGTGTTTAGTAGCGTCCTACACCGGGTATACGCATCGACAAGTAGGGTTCAATCCTTATAATGTTTTGTTAAAATATCCGTACAATTATTTTATTTTGACAATCGCTTTCTGCTTAGTAAAAATAACAATCTAAATAGTAATATGAATATCTCCTCTTCCACTTGGTGGGTAACGCATCTTAGGGACCCAGTGTATCCCATATTATGACCAGAGAAGTTGGTGCATAGTCATTAAAGGATTTGGATAATGGTCCGAAAACGTTCAAAAATTTCGAATTTTTAAGAGTACTGCTGAAACGACTAAAATTATAAAAAAAAGAACTCACCCTCTCAAAGTTTCTGGCTTCAACAAATCCACCCGATGTATCTTAGTCTTATCTTCTTTCGTTTTATTTTTCACATCCTCCTTAGGTTCTTCCTTCCGATCCTTCGCTTCAGGCTTGGCGTCGTTTGGCACTGGCACAATTCCACTGGCTACTAACTTGGCAAATAGATCATTGACATTTATGTTGCCTAGTATAGGTAATGTCGGTGGTTTCTCTTCTGAGGGAGTCTCCAGGCCGGGGATTTTCTCAGGTTTGGCGAACAGAGGCTCGGCGAGTGTGTACTCTGTCGCAGAGGGTGGTGCTTCCATTGCTGTCGGCATAACGCTGGCAAGCAGGTCTAGGCCTGTGGAAGAATTGTTTAGTATTTATTTATTGGACATATTGCAACAATTTAAGTTATACTTAATATCAGAATGCATTACTCTTCTTTTGAATAAGATATTGGAGCCTAGAACAGTCTTACCTTGATGTTCCCCATCAGGACTAGGTGTGTTGGCTGGTCTCGGTGGCTCCTGATCCACTTCCATTTCGCTCGGCATGTCGTTGAGGACATTCTCCATCGATACCGTGGGTGGCGGCGGCAGGGGCCCTACGGCACCTTCCATATTCGCTATGGTAATCATACCAGGTTTGATGTTACGCGGTAATGCAGAAAAGCGGATGAAGAACTTCTCATTTCCAACCGTTATAGGCTTCGGCAAGTCCCCATACTCAACTTGGAACGGCTGCTCATTTATCAACACGGTTCTTAACGAATCCACAAATCGAATGGTAAAGTACTGACCGTTGATCATGAATTTTTGAACTTTAGCGTCGAGATATACAGGACACATCTGTGTAGCATTCACTATAAGATTGATTTTCCCAGCAACAAGATCTGTGCGTTTCGTTTTCCCTATATCCACTTGGGGTAGCGGCCCTTCTAAATGGACCAAGCGAGGTTTGCCGTCAATAAGTACTCCGAACGGCTGGCCACCAAAGAAAGACTCGAACCATCTTCCGTTTATGTATAATTCCCTTGTAGGCGCTCCGAACCGAATGTCGAAAACTTGATCGTCAATTTCAACTTGTTTGTAAGGTTCATTGAATGATAAGACAACGGAATCTTTGTTATCAAAGGTAACTCGTCGACAACCAGGTAAGAATTTAATCTCCCTAGGGTCGTCCCAGTCCAACATAATAATCGCCGTATCCCCATAAAATCTTATTTCTCTTGGTACACAGTCAATTTGAATAGTTTTCACTGGATCTTGGTCTATGTATTCAATTATTTTATAATCTGTCGGTGGGATTACGATACCAGGCGCTCCTAAAGGCGGAGGAGGCTCGGTCTTTTCATAGGGTTGTAACGGACATTCGCCCTGACACATGCCTATTTGAGGTGCAGGTAGCGGTGGCAACGGCATTCTCTGATCAAAAGGTAGTCTTGGGCCTCTTTTATCGAACTTTCCCCTGAAGAAAGGCGGTGTCGGTCGTCTGAATCTTCTAGGCATATATTCGTCAACTCTTGGTCTTGGTCCTCTCCAGTTGTTAGCATATGGCATGTAAGGAGGTATGGGCATGGTAGGGGGTAGTGGAAGTAATCCAGGTCGCTGGCCTTCAATTGTATCCAACATTCTCATGTCAGAGTCTTTGAGATACCCTTGATTATCAGATGGAGTTTCGATGTAAGGAACGACTCGTTCGTCGATATCCCCATAAGTGTTTGGGACCGCTTTGGGACTAGCATTGTTTTGCTCCTGTGTATGAGCCTTCAGTTTCCTCTTCGATAATTCTAAGGATTCCCTTTGTTTGGCTTCTTTGAGTTTTAATTTCTCATTCAGTTGTAGAACTTGATACATAAGGGTGTTGTATTGGTTCTTATCTAATTGTCCATCGTTAAATTGCTCCTTGGCCTGGTTCATAATGATGGAAATGGTTTTCTTGTGGTCCTCAGCGTCAAAATCTTCTGTGTTTTCTGTTCGCATATCTGTGTCTTCTGAACTTACTGTGCGGCGTCGTTCCTTTTCTATACCTGAAGGGGAAAAAAATTACAATAAGTTAAAATAAAACAATATTACTAAAAATAAATACACATTGGAAAGATATAAATGTGATGCCGCATAAATAAAACTATTTATGAAATTATGGTTAAAGAAAGAGCAATATAGATACTTACTAGGCGACTTACTATATAGCAGCGGTCTTCCAAGCCTGTCTTTGCCCTTGGTTGCTTCAGCAAGCTTCGCCCTAACTAAATCTAATTTGGACGGTGTTCTCTTCACTTCTTCTGTTTTCTCTTTTACTTCATTCCAATCCTTCTTTGGCGACAATTGGGGGGAATCGTTGATGTCATTTTCGGGGAGATTTATGTCTATTTTAGGTGATTCTGTTAAGGGTGGAATAGTATCGTCCACTTGAGGCAGTTGACGGAGATCCACGTCTTCATTTCCGAATAATCTGAAAGACGATTGAGCTAATAAGTAGAACTAACGAGTTGTTGAGAATAAAAGCAAAGATTTTCACTACAAAATCTGAGCATAAGGACCAACTTACTAAGGAATATAAAAAAGATGTATCACCTAATATAGCATAACTATTGTATTATATTATCAGTTAGAAATAGAATTGAAAAGTCGCAGACAAGAGCCAAAAAATCTCGATTTATCTATAGGCTATGCAATTAACGAACACTGCATAAAATTAATATAGACAGCAATAAAATGCAAATAAGGTAAAAAATATACTTACATATCAAACTTATCGAGTTTGTTTTTCTTAACTTTTCCTTCAAGCATCTCAGTGGAGGGTCGTTTCTGGCTTATTGCGACCGCCTTAGGCTCCACAATGGGGAGCACTCTAAGGTCGACATCCTTGTTTTCTACCACGACGTCGGTCACATCTGAAAATATTTCTTAATTTTTATGAAGCCACATGTTTACGAAAAGCAAATTGTATCCCAGTACCTGCTTACCCAACTCCCTTGTTGTTAAGATGTTATTACACTCATTCGCACCTTGTCAACACACTGAGCAACATCCCCTAATACTTTATTACACCTTAATTTAAAAACGTGAAAACTACAATGTTGCGTATAGTGCTGTAAATAATCACTGAGCCAGGATCTTTATATATTCAGAAAAATCTCGGAAACTAACAGTCTGCTGACAGAAACACATCGCTAAATGTGTCCATGGAAACGTAGATCTTCCTTTAAACAATCAACGGTTTTGAACGAAACAAGATAATCTGCTTCTTGGATTCATGTCGCCAACTTGGCGCTTACTTTTATATGTTGTGCGATCGTGAAGAATCATTGGTACACAGGTCAAGAAATGCAAGATTTTTTCGACACTTCTTACTTTTAAATATTTATAATAAGAAGCCGCAGATAACAATTAATTATAATTATTAATACAAGGACAACTTGAACCTGTGTCTCAAAATAGTGCCTCTACAAAGTTATCGCTAGCGAACGCGTAAAATGTTTGTATACAAAATGTAGTTTCGTTTTGTGACCGCTAGAGGCGCTATATAACTTGCCATATAACATTGTTGTCACAGTAAAATCGTGGTAGAGGCATGACTCTTTACAGCTCAGTTGGTAGAGCTGTTGCCCTAGGTTGGCAAAAACAGATAGGTTCGAGTCCTGTCTAATCGAAGGAATACCTATCTGTTCGATCTTTGTAATAATAATTATAACAAACTATTAGAGTAATTTCACAAAAAATTATATTAAAGTAGAAATTTAGAAAAAATATCTATTCCATATACGAAATGCTTTAATGATTAGACAAACACCTTAATAATTTTCCCAGTATATTCGATCCTAAGTCTATTCATATTTTAAGATTTTAAACACTTAAAGAAACTTTACTCATTGTTCTGGATTTTGTTTGTATACAGTGTTTCTTTTTTAATTCGACGGTATGGAGAAATTCGAAACAGTAGAAGATATTAGAATACTGTCTTAGGAACCAGTCTTTTTTGTGAAAAAAATTTTGGCATAGTCAATTTTTTGATGATGAGTTCTCCATAAAAATTAATAAAATTGTTCAAAACTTTATTTAAAGCTGATCGACTCAGTTTCACGAAGGGATCATTTCATTGCATGGGATGAAAAAATCGGGACAGCAGAAATGGTCAAATCTCATAAAATATTTTTCCACATAAAATTGTCTAATTTTTTTATGCTAATAAAACTTGCTATTCTTTTCTTCCTTTACAATAAAATTATTCTCATGAGAAACTGAGTCTATCATCATTAAAAAAAATCGAGTCAAATTTTAATTTTGTATCAAAACATTTCATGAAATTTGGCTGACTTCTGCTGTTCTGATCCTTACATAAAACTGAGTCGATCAGCACTAAAAAAAAGTTTGATCAATTTTATTAATTTTCATGAACACTCACGCTTGACCAAAAAATTGAGTATGCCAAAATTATTTTCACAAATAAAGTTTAATGGTTCGTAAGACAGTTTCCTTGTATTTTCTATGGCTTCGGATTTCCCTGTACTGTCCCATTTTAAAAAAACACTGTATATTTCACTGTTGTCACTTTCAACTTTGGTCAACAACTTTATTTTCTTCCTAAAAACCCCTAGTTCTGTTAAGGGATGTTGCAAAGTAAATTGACTGGGACCGACGAAGTTCCTTGCAACAACTCTATAAACGACGTACACTGATACCCGTAACATTTATGGAATTCTGAACCCTTGTTTGTTGAGCCCTTCAGTACTTCAAATTATGACCAAAAATGGACTGTTTAATTCGTTTTCCGACTCATGTCATTTCTTACTTATATTTGATGAACACCACGTCATGTTGCTTAATTTTGTAGAACTAATGTCTTGTGCCGTTGGTGACAAACATCGACTGCAGTATCACGATTTGACGGTACAGTAATAACTAGTTTGTAACGCGACCTTACATGTTTAGTAGTTCATACTCAATGTATTTAACTAAGAAATGGTGGTCTAACGCGGATCACACATGACACAATTATCAACATAAACAAAAATAGACTTGGTTGGAAACTGGATACAATAAAAAATTCAAAAACCCCCGTACAATGAGCTGCTTATTTCCACAAAATTACAGTTGTTAAGAATTAAGCAATATTTGCGGAATCAAACAGATCTCAAAGCACTACTATTCTGTGTATAATAAACAATATTTTTTTATCGGTGCACGTGGCGACGACGGTAATAAAAACTAATTTGTATCGCAATCAAAGGCATCTGCTGAACTGAATGAATATGACGAACGGGAACTAGGGAACGTCTACTTCACACATAGTAATGGATAGTCTAAAATTGGAATTAAAGAATCTCAGAGGAACTATTTAGTAATGTAACTCAGCATTAAAAATCACTTTTATATACGCCGGGTGACTGAGTTTTGATAGATATTTATTACTGTTACCTAGAAATTTTGTGACTATACATAGTAATGATTTATAAGGTCTCTTTCACAACATTAACAAATCCTATTTAGAGACGTTTTTGAATTGTGTTTGATTTTCCTTTAAAAAAGTGAAATTTTAAATCATATCAGAAATACTTACGATATTGACCGTAGCATAAAAAAATAAAATTAAAGATAATAACACAGTACCTAATAATTGTCTAATATTAAAAATGTTACAAGCATTTCAAAAAATCCTACTCTAAACTTGGATGGCACACCGCCGAACTGTTCTGTTGGGAAGAGTTGTGCAGAAGATAAGTGTTTCTAGAGTAACTAATTTATTTAGCTGTACTGTTTTTCAATTACATAACTAAATTCAAAGAAATGGTCTAGCCACCAAGGAATAAATACGTGTCTATTATTATGGCGGTGAAGACGTAAACCATTTAGGCTTCCATCATCAGAGGTTCAGTCAGGCTATCCGTAGAGGTCCATTCGTGAAGTTCCATTTGCGAGGTCACCGGGGATGGAGCACCGTTCTTCCTTTCATTGCCACTCGATTCTCGATCGTTTCCGTAGTGCAAGGCGTGCGCCCCGACGGTCTCTCGAGGTGCGCATGGAGTTTAGTGTATTTCGTTCATTGAGAAGTTGCAAGAACTACGCTCTTTTAAAAAATTAGTACTGAACACCCAAACCTCCGTGTCTCAAAAGTGCTGTCGACGACTCGATTCAAGGTCTCGTCGTGTAAAGTGCAAAGTCGTGTGATCTCGATAGAAAAAAGTACGGGTCCACCGCGTGTCGCATCGATTTGCGAGAAAAAAACTGGACCGTTGCGGTTCTTAAAAGTAAGGGTACATAGCTCGTCGCAAAACACGTCAATATGAATACTCCAGCAGTTGAAAAACATTTTATTCGGACACAACAAGTGCTCTGGGCGTCGCTTACAAGTAGGGTCACTGGCGCGCCGCGAGCGGAAACAGAGAGGGAAAGCTTACTTGGCGGCGCGTCGGGCGCGTCGGGCGCGGGCGCGGCCAGCGGCGTGCTGTCGGGGCTCTCGGATTTCTCCTTGTTGCGGCGCATGTAGCGCTCCTTGTGGTAGTTCCGGAGCTCCTTGAAGGCCACGACCTCGGGCTCCGCCGGGCTGTCGGCCGCGTCGGCGCGCCGCTTGCCCTTCCTCTCGCCCTTCGGCCGCTTCTCCGGCGACGAGCCGGAGCCGTCCTTGCCGTCCTCCCGCCGCTTCTTCTTCTCCCCGCGGCCGTCCTCCTTGGCCCGCTTGGCGGGGGACGAGGCGTCCTTGTCCTTGGGCTCGTCGCGGTTCACCTTCTTCGGTATCGGCGGGAGCTTGTTGATCTTTTTGGGGTCGGCGATCATCAGCTTGTCGATGTAGTCGTCGGTCTTCTCCCTGGCCGCGTCCTCGTCGAGCTTGCGCTCCTTGTCGGGGCGCGGCTTGCGGGCCTCGAGGTCGTTCTTGCGGGGCTCGGGCCGCTTCCGGTCGCGGTCGTCGGGCTTCTTGGGCTCGCGCCGCGGCTTGTCCCGCCGGTCGCGCTTGTCGAGGCGCGGGTCGCGGCGGCGCGGCGGCGCGGGCTGCACGTCGTACGACAGCACGTTGCGCCGCTTGCCCAGCGGCTTGATGTCGAACACGTTGGGCGCGAT